CCTAAACCTCAATTTCAAATTTTGTCTAGAATTGGGTAATTAGTAAGTTAATATTTGGGCATGGGAGTTGTCCATCTTGCATGCATGTGTTATCAAAGGGTATAAGAAGATTGTTGAGCTAAGAATGGAAGAAAATGGGTTTGGGATGATGGAATCCACCATAAAAGAACCTTGAAACCTTAATGCACACCTAGTGTTTGATAAAATGCTCAAATGAGCTAGAACCATGATCATCTTCCTAATTTTGGTTCATTTTGTTATATTTCTAAAATAGATTGAAGTTGCTAAGAATTCAGGAATATTTTAGAGTTTAAAGAAGCTCCATTGAGGTACGTTGGCTAAACTTTCTCTCTTAGAATTGAATATCATGATATTCCCGTAAGTTTCAAGTATGGTTGTCTCAAGTTCCTTATTCTATGTTCCGAGTTGTTCCCAATAAATTCGATTATCCCGAATAAGCAAAGTGATAAGAATTGTGTAATCAAAACTTGTTCCGAATGTTCCTATCACATTATGTTATCCTTCGGGAATGTGTTCAAGAATGATATGTGTATTAAAATATTATGGCATTGAATCGTGTTTCTAATGAAAGCTAGTATGCCAAATTGTGTGAGAAAAACTCAATATGCTTAAGACTCTTAGTTTCTCATATGTGTACCTAAAGTCTTGATTTGGAAATGTCTTATTGTTGATAATCTATAAAGATGGTTGGAAGTGAAATAAGTGAATTGGGGATATAGAGTGTGGCCAAAGTGCCAAGAATTTAAGTTCTGATTGTGGCTAGTAGTGAAAATAATTTGAAAGGATGCGATAAAGAATATGAAATGAGCCTCGACTCAATTGCTTAAAAATGATTTTGAAAATAGAATTGCCTAAAAGCTTTTGTACTCAATTCATGCCCATAAGCGGTTGCTTTAACTAATGCTTTATTTTATAAATATATCCAGTGTGATTCGAGTTCTTACATACTCATATGTTGAAATTATACATTGTCATTTGTGGGGAAGAGTATTGCAAGAATAAGTGATGTATTGATTGTTTATAATTTTGATGTGTGTTTCTATTGCTGGTTGGTATGCCCCATTCTTTGGGAAGAAACCATTTGTGTTTAAAATTCCCATTACAAATGGATTTGAAGTATATAATTTCTAAAATATTCTATATGTTGATATTTGATGGTGATATTTGAAATTGAAAGAGGTAAAAGTGTGGAATATGAAATACGGCCATCGTACCAGGAATAAAGAACCTTGTGAATGTCCAAATGAGCCAAGAAAATATTGTTGTTGTGATTGACTGGAAATACTAATTAGGATTTATACAATGTGAAAGAGATTGAGATGAGTTCAATTGTATTTATGTTACCTTTGTGTGAAAATCAAATCAAAAATATTTTTGAGAGCATCATTAGCAAAATTGAGGAAGGGTGGGTCATAAGGCCTACACCTGAAACTACATGTGCCGGTGTAAGGGTAGATTGTGATTATTCCCCTTATTTGGGATGAAATTGAAATATTGGTGAAATTGTGATATTATTCCCCTTAATTAGGATGAAACTGGTAACAATTGTGGATTGGAAAAGTCAACCCACACGACATATGTGGGAAGGCGACCTATTTGATCGGGTGGAGATCGGATGCCATGTTGCGCACATGGTGGTACTACTCTTGGTAACAATTTTTTTTTGCATCACATGTGAAACCACATTGTTCATGGGGAGATGGCCTAGCCGATCGGGCGTGATCGGACTCTGTGCTAACAAAGACGGTGGTATATCGGTGCTAATGATCTCCCAACCAAACTTGTATATGAAATTTGTATTTTGAAAATTATTATGTTTTAACTGGACATTTGGATATTGTTGATTGTGACTTGTTATTTCTATGTGTTGCCTTTTCTTATATGGGCATTCTATTTTGAAAGAGGACTTTTAGCTATACATACTAGTGTTATTCGACAGTACTAACGTCCCTTTTGCTGGGGGTGCTGTATCTTTAATGGATGCATGTGTTTCTATAGCAGGCGACATTGATCAGTGATAGCAGTACACTCCTTTCAGCTGATTTGGTGAGCCTATTTCGGGGTCATATATCTTTTGTTTCTCATGTACTGTATTTTGAGGTATAGCTGGGGTCTTGTTGCCGGTATTTTCATGTTACTCTTCTATTGTACTTAGAGAGGCTCCGTAGACAGGTTGTGAGTTGCGGTTGATGTTGGGAATTGAACTAGAAATGTTGGTATTTGAAAATCATGTTTTTCATTAATTCTATAAACTCGAAATGTTTTGAAAATTATGAATGAAGCTGTTAATGGGAATGAAAAGGAAGTTGTTAATAAAATCTTTTCAGTGATTGATTAGTGGAGTACATCTCCTCTTTATTCATGGATGAGTTTGGGTAGAAGAAAATCTAACAAGCTTGCTCGGCCGGGTTCTCTCGGTTGAGCGTCGGTCGTGCTCCCCGAGTTTGGGGCGTGACAAACTTGGTATGAAGGTTTAACTTGAAGGTTTGAAGAAGGAGTATGAAGATTTGAAGATAAAGATATGAAGATCTGGAACACAATGTATGAAGATTTGAAGGGGTTAGAATCAAGTGAAGAATTCGAGGGTAAATAAGGGAGCTCTGAAATAGGAAAGTAAAAAAGTGAAAAAGAGGTCGGAGCTTTTATAGAGAAAGGGTAATCATTGCATGACGTTTCGCATTCGGGAATGGTCAACTGGCAGCTAACACATGTCCGAAGTCAGAACGACGCGACTAATGTGATATTTCGCTGACCCGTTAACTCGGTTCTAGAGTACAGAAGAAGGAACCGGGGTTAATTTATGGCTTTTCGTCATTTCGATAAATCTACTCTCTAGGAAACGAGGGGACTATATGTGTACGGGTAGAATCGAGGACAAATTTTTTCCTGATTCCCCGATAAGGAAACAAATGGGAAGTGCGGCTCGATGTAATTATAATCGAGGCCCAGGAGCCCCTCGTAGCGAAACCCGAAAGGAATGAACGAGGTATCTAAGATCGGACATGGTGGAATAGCAGACCCAAACCAAGTATAACTTCTGGACCTCGGAAAACGCGCAGAACGATTACGCATGACGAGTAGGGGGCCGTAATGTTCAGCCTTAAGCGGATATTACGGCGCGAATCACGTCCCTTATCAACTGCGGATCGACATTTACTGAAAAAAGATAATTTTTACCTTATTTAGACTTGTACTAGGATTGAAATTCCCCTACTATATAAAGAGGAAGGTTTTCTTTAATCTGATACATTGTGACACGCAAATCAAAGTAATAAAATGTTTACTTTTGTCTTCTAGCTATTGTTCAAAGCATTATTCATTTGTTCATTTTTTTGCCCGTGACCGAACTTGTATCGAAGGTCCAATTGAGGACGAATTTTATTGTTCAATCTAAGATTAGACTGGGTCACCATATTGCAATTGGTTGATCATATATTTTGTCTTTAACTTATTTATTTGTTGTTCTTGATTATTCATATTGAATTAAACCGCATATCCTTTAAACCGCGTACAACTTTAATTGTTACTCATTTTTGGATAAACAAAGTTGAAAAATGGTATTTGAAATTTGAAATTGTATTTGGACATGCATTTCACTTGGAAAGATGTTGCACTTTTGTGAGGGGGAGAAAAGATTTTCTAAAATTTTGGAAAAAGTGGTCAAAATCACTTTTTGGTTTTTGAAAAATGCATATTCAAAATATTTTCAAAAAGTTGCAAAATTTCATGAACAAATACATTTTTGAACAGAAAACTTTGAAAAAAGAAAAAAAAATTATGGACAAACGGGGCTTTCATTAGGTACTTGAGCAAATAGAATTTATTTTTAAGGCCAAGATAACATATTGTTGCATGATGTTTAAGTATAAATTAATATATTATTCTACTTTATTTGAGCTACTAAAGTAAATACACAAATATATCGAAGCTATGATATCATATTAAAACACTTTTGTGTGACATAGCTTTTGCCTTTATTATGTTGTCAAATAGGATCAATATCTATCATTTTCAAGAGCGTACTTTTTACAAAATTTTATTTTATAACTCAATCACATAGTCTAATATATTTATGTGATTTTAAATACTCATTGATATAGAATTGAGCGCAATGTATGTATCCTCAAAGTAATCATACTTAAAGTGATATGTGATATAATACTTTTATAATTTCTATAATTATTATATAATTTAATGCAATATAGAATTCGAATAAAAAAATTCTTCCCACGGCTGCCTGCTTAACAACGTAAGTGCGTCGACAAGCCTCTTAAATTTATTTATTGCCAACTCATATAATTAGAAAATACTAATGCTCTTAAATTTATTTATTTATCTTTTGCATTTTTAAAACCTGTTTTTGGAGTCTCAAATAGCTTCAGTAATTTCACAATTCAGTACCCCTTAGTCCCTTACTCAAGGATAAATATTTTGAACCATTTCCTCAATTTTTTTCTCTTACCCTCTCCCTTATTTATTGGAGTAATAAAAGCATTCGCCAAACACATGATTAAAAAAAACAAAAAAAAACTGAGAAGAAAGGTTGCTCAAGTGGTAAGAAAAGGGGAAAAGAAAATCTTGAATTGATATCCACAGATCTGTATCCAACTTACAAACCCAAATTTAAATTAAAAATGAAGGTTTTAAAGTATCAAGTGTAATTAATTTCACTTCTTTCAATTTCTAGCGACTCGTGACCAATTAAAAAGAGGCCTAATTTAAGTTATGATTGACAAGCAAAAGTGTTTCCATGTATATATAAAATCAAATCTCACTCTGAGGTAGATAAACAAAGAAAATCAAAGAAATAGTAAAGTGAAAAACAATTTAGAAAGGCACTCACAAAACCTAGTAAAAGCAATCCTACCACTACAAATACAAATTACAATTCAGAGACCCATATTGGCCAATCTTATTTCAAATCTAAGACTTAACAGCAAATCAATAAAAAAAGAAAAGGGCAACCTAACAAGATAAAGTTACAGCAACAAATGGCCAAACCAAATACACAAAACAGGGATCACCAGTGCACCAGCATTGTATCTAAACGCACCGTTCTTATCTGCCTTTGAATCCGCGACATCGCCGGTGGGACCATCCGTCGGGGAATCCGCCGGAGAAGCAGGCGCCGGCGGGGATTTATGTTTCTTTCCCGCCGGCTTGGGGGACTCAGCGATCGGGGCTGGTGCTGGAGCAGGAGTCGGAGCACCCTTGAACAATTCCTTAGGTTCCAAAACCTTATCAATCGAAAAAATCGCCAACGGCTCTTTATCAATTACAGTTCCTGTAATTTTAGCCGTGTCTATTTTGGTCCTCAATGTAACATCTTGGCCGTCATTTTGAACAACAAAATCGTAATTATTAGCACCGTCAGTAGCTAACGTGTTCATTAAACCGTTACTTGTTCTCAAACTCGACAACGACTGATAAACTGGAACGCCGTGATATTCAAGAACGGACTGTTTCCCGTCAGCAGTTAAGTTCTTGAACTTAGGAGCAAAGTCTTTCATTGCATCGTCGGTTGGGCAAAAAATGGTTAGACCACCTTGGACATTATCCCCGTATGTCTTTTCAGCAGGTGAAGCAAGTAAAATGTCGGCGAAGATTTTGCATCCGTGAGCTGACATTACAGAGGTGAAACTCACTTGGGGTGCTGCTGCCTCTGGAGCAGGAGATTCAGATTTAGCAGCGGAAGGTTTGATTTTACTGATCTCAGTGTTTTGGGTCTCACATGAACAATACGGGAAAAGGACGGCTAGAAAAATAACTAGCGTGGCTATAGTGGATGCCATCTGAAGCGGAAAATGAGAGAGGGGCTTTGGGTACTGTGTAGAGATGGAGTGTGAGTGGTCAGTGAAGTGATGTTTACTGAAGTTAAAAGTGTGTACTTGGGAAGAAGCTAGATCTGAAGTGAATACCTATTTTATTGACCAGTAATGGAACTGTATTTACAGATAATGCCACTCAAGTGGGGTATTGCTGACTAAGCTGGCAGTTGTCCTCGTTCAGGTAACTTGGGAGTGTAATTTTGTCCCAAATTAAAGTAAAAAAGATAGAGTAATGATGATACTAATAATATAGGAGTGTGATTAACTTGTAAATTGAGGACAAAATCTTCATTATAATTACCAACTTTGGGTATTTACTTCAAAGATGTGTACGTCCGATCTATTTGGAACCTGCAAAATGTTTTTACATTTAAAAGCTTAATGACAGGTCATGATAATTTTGATAATTTAACATGTAGAAGCATGATTTGCCTATATGTCATGGCTCGTGATCAAGCTTCAAGAGTAAATGATACTCCCTCCCTCCATTTGATAATTTGGTACCTAATTTTTGAAAAGGCAGGTTTGTATACGGTCAAAATAGAGCTTGTCCTTTCTTATGACCGATCGAAATTAGAAAATAATTAAACGAGGTTCGGGCTCATGTAATGTCGAACCATGATGCAAAGTTAGATCATCAAGCTCATGACCCATAGACCGATCGAGATCGGCTAAGACCGAACAAGATTGAGATCAACCAAGATCGAGACCAAGCTAATGAGGGACTGATCGAGACCGAGATCGACCTAGATCGAAACCGAACAAGATCGTGGCTAACCAAGTAAGGGACCGATCAAGACCGAGATCGGCCTAGATCGAGACCAAACAAAATAGAGATCAAGCAAGATCGAGGAAGGCTTATCGAGCCAAAAGACAAAAAGCCGGAATATCCGTAATAGGGCCCGAATCACGGTGGAAATCCCTGTACATATCAAGAAAAGATTAATTAATTAATCTATCATGGGATTCCCTACTATATTTAGTATTATATTACAAGTAGAACTTTCCTATTATATAAGGGGGGTTTGATCATTTGTAAAAACAGTTTTGACACAATACAAAGCAATACACTACCTTCTTTTAGCTTTCAATATCTTGTTACTCTGTTCATACATCAGTAGAGTTTTCACTTGGTTCGAGGGTGACCAAACTCGAGGGCCAAGGCTAATTCATCCGTTTGATTTGCATTTATTACATTTACAGTTAATATCGATACCCATTTGTGTATTTTCTCAATTTGTACCAATTTATACTACATATTCTTAGGACCGTGTATAAATTCAATTGTTATCCGCTTTTTCGGGTAAACAGTTTGGTGCCCAACGTGGGGCTAAGAATAATAGTGGTTATTTGATACAAATCCCTATAAAACACACTATTTTACACTTGCTCTTGGAAGTATATTTGATTTCAGGTTAAAAATGATGAACTCTCAATTACTGTCCCTACATATCGACAACGAATCTGGCCATCAAGGTGAGAATAACAACGTGGCGCCCGGGGATGAAAGGCCACCCGCTGACCCCGTTGGTACTCGAGTCGTGGATCCAATTGCTATTAATTCACATGTGGCCATCGAAGCGAATCACCATTCTGGTCCCGAAAACAGCATCCAAGGTGGGAACCGATCTGCAGTTCGAAATACCCAAAATATTGGAGAAGACGGGATCAGCCTACGTATGATCTTCGAAATGCTACAAGCTCAACAAGTGGCGATAGCTTAGTTGCAGAGCCAAACACAGGCGCCGAGTAGGGCTGAGCTCGGTCCACCCCAAGAGGTCACTCACAGAACGGGGCCAGCCATGGTAAGGTCAAATGAATAAGAATCGGGGACTAACCCCGAAACCTATAATTCCAGGGTAGACCAAATCCCCGGAGCACCCCCGATACTGAAAAGACTGGATTCAAAGAGGTTCTTGCAAAAGCCTTTTCCTCCAAGCGTGGCCCCGAAGCCGATCCCTAAAAATATTTGTATGCCCTAAATACCGAAGTACAGCGGAACGACTGACCCAAAGGAGCATGTGACCTCTTATACATACGCTATCAAAGGGAACGACCTGGAAGACGATGAGATCGAGTCTGTTTTGCTGAAAACAAATTTGGAAACCCTGTCAAAAAGAGCAATGATATAGTACCATAATCTACCATCTAACTCTATCAATTCTTTTGCCATGCTTGCAGATTCTTTCGTAAAAGCACACGCAGGAGCTATAAAGGTCGAGACTAGGAAGTCGGACCTTTTCACGGTAAAGTAGAAAGATAAGGAGATGCTTAGAGAATTTATATCTCGTTTCCAAATGGAACGAATGGACCTACCACCAGTCACCGACGATTGGGCCGTTCAAGCTTTCACCCAAGGACTAAATGAACGAAGCTCAGTGGCTTCACAATAGTTGAAGTAGAACTTGATTGAGTACCCGACTGTTACTTGGCCCGATATACATAATTGATATCAATCGAAGATTAGAGTCAAAGACGACCAGCTTGGGGCCCCTTCCGGATCTATTACCAAAAGGGACATCGATCGAGAACCAAGGTTAAACAGGGATCGATACCTGCCATATATTAGAGATTGTAAGAGCAACAGACCTATGCATAATTCCGTACGAGGTGAAAGGATAAGCGACCGAGGCTAGGGCTCTTGAGGGCTCATAGGAAAGAATGGTTTCGATAGGCATGCCGGACCTAAGGAAGCACCACGACTGTCTGAATATAACTTCAATATTGATGCATCCGCCATCGTATCAGCCATCAGACACATCAAAGACACCAAGTGGTCTCGACCTCTGCAAACCGATTTGGCCCAGATAAATCTCAATCAAGTATGCAAGTATCATGTCACCCATGGCCACAGAATAGAAGATTGTAGGCAGTTGAGAGAAGAAGTAGCCTGGTTATTCAATGAAGGTCACCTTCGGGAGTTTTTAAGTGACCGGGCCAAGAATCATTTTAAAAACAGGGAGTTTAATAGGCAAAACGAGCAAGATGAACCGCAACACATTATTCACATGATCATTGAAGGGATCGATGCACCCCAAGGGCCAGTGTTAAAATGCACTAAGAGGTCGATCATAAGGGAGAAACGATCTCAGGCTCAGGATTACATACCTAAAAGTACCTTGTCCTTCAACGACGAAGACGCAAATGGAATCATGCAACCCCATAACGATACACTAGTAATATCTGTATTCATGAATAAAACTCAAGTTAAGCGTATGTTAATTGATCCAGGTAGTTCGGCCAACATTATTCAATCGAGGGTCATAGAATAACTCGGTCTACAAGACCAGGTTGTGCCCAGGGCCCTAGTGCTAAACGGATTCAACATGGCATGCAAAAATACTGAGGGCGAGATAACTTTGCTAGTAAACGTGGCAGGGACCATTCAAGAGACAAAGTTCCATGTGATTGAAGGTGACATGAGGTATAACGCCCTTTTCGGAAGGCCATGGATCCACAACATGAGAGCAGTACCCTCGACCCTTCATCAGGTTCTAAAATTCCCAACACCAAAGGGAATTAAGCCAGTCTACGGGGAGCAGATCGCCGCAAAGGAAATGTTTGCCATTGACAAAGTGATTTCGATATCGTCATTTTCATCAACGAAGGGGTCAAATTCAAACAAAAAAATAGAAGGCCAAATAGCAATCGCAAACGCCGGCCTCGACCCAACTTGGGAAGCATAGGACTGACGAGGATGATGATTATAGGGTCCCTCAATCCTTCATAGTCCCCGACAATTCCGATACCACCAAATCGACTGTCGAAGAGCTGGAGCAAATCATACTAATCGAACGTCTACCCGAACAAAAGGTATACCTGGCACGGGGTTAAATCCTGAGCTTAGGAAAAAGCTTATTCAATTTATTATAGCTAACATGGATTATTTCGCTTGGTCCCATCTTGACATGATAGGGATCCCACCGGAAATCACTACTCATAAACTAAGCTTGGACCCAAAGTTTCACCCGGTGAAGCAAAAAATGAAGACCCTAATCCGAGGTCAAACATGCTTTCGTCAAAGACGGGGTAACCAAGCTTCTTAAAATATGGTCCATTCGTGAAGTAAAATACCCCAAATGGTCAGCAAACGTAGTAGTAGTCCCTAAAAAAGGAAAGAAAGTTAGAATGTGTGTAGATTAAAAGGATTTAAATAAAGCATTCCCCAATGATTCTTTCCTTTGCCTAATATCGATCGCATGATCGATGCCACGTCAGGCCACGAGATCCTTAGTTTTTTCGATACCTATTCCGGGTACAATCAAATACAGATGAACCCGGATGATCAGGAAAAGACCTCGTTCATCACTAAATATGGTACCTACTGCTACAATGTAATGCCATTTGGATTTAAAAATACTGGTGCCACTTACTAACGCCTAGTAAATCGATTGTTCGAAGAACAAATAGGAAAATCTACGAAAGTTTACATTGATGATATGCTAGTTAAGTCCCTGTGAGCAGAGGACCATTTGAAGCACTTGCAGGAAACTCTCACTATATTAAGAAAATATAACATGAAGTTGAACCCAGAAAAATGGGGTCGGATCAGGCAAATTTCTCGAGTTCATGGTATCCAACCGAGGAATCAAGATTAATCCCGACAAGATCGAAGCTATCGATGGTATCACGATGGTAGACAGCGTAAAAGTTGTGCAGAGATTAACCGGGCACATGGCCGCCCTGGGTCGATTCATCTCGAGGTCCTCCGATAAGGGCCATTGGTTTTTCTCATTGCTAAAGAAGAAAAATGATTTCACATGGACCTCGAAATTCTAGTATTCCTTGGAAGAGCTTAAACGATACCTATCGAACCTGCCGTTACTTGACACACCAAGGGAGGACGAACAACTTTGCTTATATTTGGCAGTATCGGAGGTAGCAGTAAGTGGAGTCCTAGTCCGAGAAGAACGAGGTACGCAATTCCCTATTTATTACGCCAGTCGGACCTTAGGTGAGGCCGA